GGAAAAGAAATAAAGGAAGGATTTAAAGAGGCAGATAAAGAGATACCAAATATTTCAATTTCACGCAAAACGAATCCTGATGCTATTTATACAAGTAGAGCATTTACATTTATAAATTTGACAAAACCTATTAATTCGTCTTTTATTGCTTCCGATCTTGAACAGGATGGAGATAATAAAGGTATTACGTAAAAATTTTTAATTCATGATAAATTAGGATGGTTACTAATTTTTAATTGTCTTTTTTAATAATTTTCAAGATACTAAATTAGTTGATTTAGAAATTCCATAACTCATATAAGTCATTGCAAGTTGTATTATCCCATGTAACATTTTGTTTATAATAAACGTCAATATTTGAAGGTTTTAATATTTCCACGTATCATTATATTTAAACCTGAATAACGACTAAATTATTTTTGAATACCAAATTTTTATAAGTCAAATGCTTGAGAGTAAGAGTTGGAAGTGCGGGTTAATCACATGGATTGTTTTAATACATCATCATGAAATCTCTTATGACGTAGGGTGTAATTATTGAGATCTATATGATAAATATATATTTATAAACATTTTTTTTTCATAAATTAAATATGCTTGTGATCCAATTCGAGGAGGATATTCTCGAATTTTATGACGTCGATCATAATATAGTTGATGGAAGTATAATATCATTATAACAATTAAATGACGAAAATGATGAGGATTTGGAATTTTATTTTTTTATCTATCCTTAAAATTTTTAATAGATAGGAATTTGACAAAAGTCTTTCATATTATCATCATCAACATTAAAATCTCGTCCTAAAGATGCTAGGAATACCAGATATGGACGTGTACAAGGTCAGATGGTTAATTATTATTTCTGACTTTGTAAACTAACTCACCTTATTCTTTATCAACTGATTCATGTCATGTTCATAGGATTTGAGCTCTTTCCTTTATGTTGGTTGATTAAATAAATTATTGCATTTATATTTTGTGAGGAAAATAAGAATTAATAAAATTTTTGGCAATAAATTAAATCGTAAAAATAATTTCTTTTTTACATTAACTTTTTCAAATGGATTATTAATTAGAACCATATTCATTATTTACAAATTCTTAATAAAAGGCTATAAAATTTCTAAATTTTGATTTTTATTTTAGCTTCAGTTGAGTCTTTTGAAAAAATTGATTTTAAAAATTCACATTTGAAGTTTTCTCGATCAATGATGCTTATGATTTTATTGTGATTTAAAATTTCGTATTAAGTTTCTTGTAAATATAAAATATTATGCCCAATATTATGATTCATTGTCTTATATAGAGGATAATAATTAAATTTCAACACAAATTTTATGGTTAATCAAATCTGATGTTGGTAAGCATTATAATTTTCCGCGTATCTTTCGATTCTTCGAAATTTTGGTGGGTAAATTCTTTCGATGTCAATGCTAAACACGCTTCTCTTTTCGCAATTTTTAATCACTATCCTTTTTTCCTACCGTCTTCGCAGTCGTAGGAAATTTTAAATTTTGAATCTAATAATTTCAGAAAAAATTTCATGATTTGGTTCTGTTTATATTGTTACCCGTACTATATTATATGGTAGGGGTAAAGTCCCAATCTCATTCCACCCCAAATCCCATTCCTAAATTAATATCCATTTACAAAAATAAAATGATAATCAGTAACTTCTCATCGAGACGAAGCTATGAGCTATATATAATTAAATTCTGATTATTAGTTATGAACGATATAGTTTTTTAAAGTTTTGATTTAAGATATTCTTAAAAAATAGTTTATAAATTAAATGGATTTGGTTTTGGAAATGTGATTGGAATTGGGATATATATTATATGGGATTTGGGATGGTTGTGTAGCAAACTTTTTCGACTTTTGCCATTTGCTAAAATGAGTTTTGCCAGGCAACTATAATTCCGATAAATTAATAATCAGGCTGTTACTTAAAAGTTGGCTCGAGAATATTAAGGATCGTGTGAGATTCTGATTCGGGTTTCGAAAGAATGCATTTATGTGATATTTCTGGTTTCCGCATGTAGGTTATAATCTCTTTGCATGACCATATATAAAGTCAAGAATAGCTGTTAAAAGAGCATTCATAATTTTCTCCAAATGAGATATTGTCTTTTAATAATATTCGAATTTGTAAGCTATAAATAATAATACAATTAAAATCAAAAAAAAAAGCAAATTACCATATGACCCAATCGATAACCACCAATGTATTTCTCTCCGCTAGAGAGAACCTTCATAAATAACTAAAGAATTCTAATTATGCTTTTATATAGAACTAAAAAGAAGATAAAGAAACCTAATATTAATCACTTTAAATGCCTTAAT